TAGCCTAGGAGTCATAGACTATACTATATATCCTAGGTGTGTAGTACTAGGTTTAAGTACATTCTTACAATGTTTGTATGATGAAATCGTGTAACAATGCATTTCTCAGAATGTATCTTCATTGTTAATCAATGCATGACTGTACTTCAGAATGATTTTTGTTTTTTGAGACTGAGTCTCACTCTGTTGCCTAGGCTGGAGTGCGGTGGTGCGATCTCAGTTCACTACAACTTCCATCTCCTGGTTTCAAGCTATTCTCCTGCCTCAGACTCCCAAGTAACTGGGCTTAGGGATGCACGCCACCACGCCCAGCTAATTTTTTGTATTTTTAGTAGAGATGGGGTTTCACCATGTTGGCCAGGCTGGGCTAGAACTCCTGACCTTGTGGTTCATTGCCTCGGCCTCCCAAAGCCCTGGGATTACATGCATGAGACACTGTAACCGGCCCAGGATGAATTTTAAAAACTTAAAAAATATTCACATGGAAATGTTATTTTTGCTTTATTGTTTTATGACACAGGGTATCTAAGCTATATTTTTGAAGAGAAAAGAGAGTTTAAAAATATTTTTATGACTGACATTTTCATCTTTACTAATTAAAGAGTTTAATTTTAACGTTGTTATCATGTAGGAAGTCATCTCCATTGTTACAGTGTTTGCAAATACCCTAGTATTTTATATCTTACATAGAAATATGTTTGGTATGATTATGAGAACACTTAGAAAATTGACTTGAGGGGGTTTGGCAGGCAAGGGGAGGGAGAGCATTAGAACAAATAGCTAATGTTTATGGGACTTAAAACCTAGATGATGGGTTGATAGGTGCCCCAAACCAACATGGCACACGTATACTTATATAACAAACCTACACATTCTGCACTTGTATCCTGAAACTTAAAGTAGAAAATAAAATGTTAAAAAGAGTTCTTCAGAGAAAAGGAAAATTATATAGGTCAGAAACTTGGTTCTACATAAAGAAATAAGGAGCACTGAAGGGAAAAAAAAATGAATTTGAGGTCCAAGTAGCCAGCCATAGTTCCTGTCCATGATTCTCTAGAAGGCTATTTTTTAAAGCTCTTGGGCCCAAAGACTGAGGCAGCCAGGACCTCTCCTGTATTCAGAAATGCTTTTCTACCTGATGGGTTAATTGGTGTACATGGCACCTGGTTCCTACAAATAAAATCTTCAAGTTGCAAAGAGATTTACATGATTGATCTTTCCTGGAATTGTTACTGGGGATGAGTGCTGTTCACTCTTCCCAATATCCCCTCCTTTCCTCTTCCTTACTGGCCTTCCCCAAACAATAATAAAAATAAGAGAGAAAACAATGACAGTCTGGCTTTATAATGTCAAAGTAAGTTCAGAGTAAAATGCCTTCTTAGGTTTTCATTTTAATGCCTTACTACATGTGAAATTGCCTCCTTCTCTTTTATTACATTTGAGATTGCCAGAATTACCCATCAGCCTATCAACCAGCCTGTTCTTTATTCAAGGTTCTGGGCTAGCTGAGGAGGAAGAGTGACCAGTATACCGGATTTTTTCTAACATTAGAAGAAGAGTGTATGTGTGTGTGTGTGTGTGTGTGTGTGTGTGTGTGTGTGCGCGTGTGTGTGTGTGTGTGTGTGTGTGTATTTATTCCTTAGAATAAGGCTGATACAAAGAAGGCAGATCACTTTTGTAGACTACTAGTATATACTGCTTTATGCATTAATTCCAACTGGAATATATGACCATATTGAGACCAGTACCTAAATTTTATGAACTTGATGACTATGAAAAATAATCTCTATGTTCATGTCTATAATTTTAATTGTATTTTTATTTGAAGTTAGTAGTTGACTAAAGATGCATTCTAGGATTAGCCTCCTTGACCTTTGTGAATCACTAGATATAAAATTGAATGTGTCAAGGAACCTATTCTGAGATTAATTTGACTGTGTTTATGTTTAGTATACCCTCAATCTTCCCTGGGGAGAACAAAAGCTCTTATGGATAGAACTAGGTTCTCCCATCCCATAGAATATACATTCACATATAAAGAGACCTTAAAAATAATGTGCCACTTGCAATGTTATCAGTGAAGAAATACAAGAGAGGTAAAGTGATCTACAAGGGTCAGTCACCTCACAGTTAGGGCAATCTGGGCATGTGGTAGCCCAGTGCTGGGATCTGTGCTTGTAGTTTTAGCCCATGGCGTGCATTTGACCTTTGATTTAGCTACGTTACATACTCTGCTCCAGTGTTCAGAAAGCAGAGTAAGTCAACAGGGCAGAAGAAGCCTTTCAGTCCTTCCTCTCATTCCTGTCTTGCCCTTGCAGGCCAACTTGCCCCTGCTGCAGCGTGAGCTCCTCCACTGCGCAAGACTGGCCAAACAGAACCCTGCCCAGTACCTCGCCCAGCATGAACAGCTGCTTCTGGATGCCAGCACCACCTCACCTGTTGACTCCTCAGAGCTGCTTCTCGATGTGAACGAAAACGGGAAGAGGCGAACTCCAGACAGGTGAGAGAGAGGAGGAGCCTAGACAAACCATGGCCTTTTTCTCATACCTGTGGCATAAGGAGACATGATTCATGTCATAATTAAACTGCTGGCCTATGTGTCTTGAACAATAGCAATAAGCCATTGTGGCCATCTTGGGAATCTGGCTCTGGCCTGGGATTTTACAGAGTTTTTAATCTCTGGCCTGTGACAGTTTGGCTTTTGTGTAGGTTGATCTTTCCTGTTTGTAATATTAAAGCTAAATGATGAAGATAAATGATTTTCAGATTTGTCAAGTACCGCTGATGGCTCTTAGACACACGTCAGTATTAAAATTCTCATTTATTATGTAGTTCAACCCAACGGCATATTTTACCTTTCAATATTCTGAAATTTGCTTGTCCTAGTTTCCTTAAAATGTGATGGTTTTGAAGTTTGTTTGTATATATTTTTTAACATGGTACAGTAGCTATTTCTTTTGGTTTGTATATGAACTAAAAGAAAACTTCTGGGACACTAGGTGAACTGAGAAAAGATATACAGTAGAAACAATAGATGATATTTTTGCTGAAAAATTTACTTGTTAGATACTGTTCTATCAGATACTATGCTGTCATAACTGAGAATTCTAAGAAATGTAAAATAAAACCACTTCTCCATTAAACCCTACAAAGTACTTGTTGAATAAAGTATGCACATGAAATTTCCCATGTACCATATTAAAATAATTTTTGCGAATACCTCATCCTCATATATAATTATCTTCTAGTATAGGGATGCAAAGTCTTATTAGCATCGTTTTGCAGAGTATTTGTGAGATATAGAGAATTTTACAGTGAAACTATATTCAAAAACTTATTTATCATGTACTTTGCTTTCTTTCTTTGCTTATCTATCCTCTTTTTTTGCATTTCATCAGACATGGGTGTAACAGCCTTCGTGAGGTTAACACTGGCACAGTTATGTTCCACATTCATAAGAGCTTAAGATCTTTGAAGCTTCTCAGAGACATCTATTTGTGACCGACTTAGCTATCCTTAAATGTATTAGTTGCTTTGCAAATCAGAATGTTATTTAAAAGCCAGCCAGTTTACATATTGTTATTACATAATCCTCTGTTAAGCAGTTTTTATGCTACAATCTCTGGAATTTTGCTCCTCTTGACAGAAAACCTCTTAATAGTTTAAAATTCCTAAAGCAAATAGTTAAATATTAGTCTCCTTTTGACGTATTGTATGCTTACCTTCATATATGATCTACAAACAGAGCTACTTTCTTATTCTTGCAAGTCATATTTTCTTGGTCATATTTAAGAGTAAAATAGAGCCCTTGGTACTTTAGCTTTTAAGGGGAATTGCTTAATCCTGTTGCCTGAGTGGCCTGTGCACATGGTGCTGAAAACCAAGAGGTGGCTCAAAGATAGATGATTTATATGTGCATTCCTGTTTGATCTGAACCCATTTACCCTGCAGGAAATAAGTATGACATACCAATACTGAGGTATTTTAGCTCCATGTTTCCAGGATTACATGATAAAAGAATGAAAGAGAGACTGGATGGAAAATTGAGAAGGAAATTTATTTAGGGTTATTGGGGCAGGGGGGAGTGTAACAGGGAAATATTTTGATAGCTAAGATAAATGTAGAGATGATCCTATAGGCAAAATTGAAAATGGACACAACTTATTCTGGCATTCCTAATTGTTAAATAACCATAACAGGGAATACGAAAATCTGTTTCATTCATTTCTCTATATTTCCAGCTATTTTCCCACTAGCTCTTTTCCAGTATTTTATATTTGAATGTACTGTGACTTTAGACTATCCTTGGACAGTCCTAAGGTAAGTGCTGGGAAGCATGTTAACATTGATATGAAAACTTCATCTTAAATTCCACAAATGCTCAGCATTGTTGTTTTGATGCTCCATTGCTGTGCATGCATCGATGTATGCATTCAGTCAGGTAGAACTCTCCTAAAAAGAGTCTTTGGTCTGATTTTCCCTTTGGTTTTTCATGGACGGTTGCCAGAGTTGGAGTTCACATGGTTAATCTTTGGATGGAACATTCTTTATTAAATGGAGCCCTGAAGTATACATTATATCGCAAAGATGGCAAATGGGTTGGTTTCCTTAGAGTTAGGAGGAAGGGTAATGAGAATATGTTGTGTAAATACATTTGTATCTTGTGGGAATTTGATCAGAGCCAAGAAAATATGGGCCTCTACAGTATTTTTTCTTTTTGCATATATTTTCTGCATCTTGTTTGCATATGCATTTTCCCCTTCCCTGGTTATTTATCTGTACATCCAGATCTACTATATGAAATTTTATAGAGTATGGAGCTGTCTGACAGCAGAGCTTTTTTTGTTTTACTGAATGTTTTGTTGGTGCATATGGTCTGACATGGATGAGCAGCCACGGTGAGATTTTGGAGTCTATTAAACTGGCTCATTAAAAAGATCAATCTGTTTCTGTAATAACACTGGGAGCCATCAGTCACTAAAAGAGGGAAAAACTGACACCTGAGGAGAAAACACATTTTGGTAATTTGTTCATGACATGTCATGAACAAAAGAGCACTCTATATTTTGTTTACAACTTTGGGGGCTTAAATTCTGTGACGATTGCTGAGTTAATGTACTAAACAGTCATCACGTGTTTCAGGGATGGTTTTTGGCAAATTTAACTTTCTTCTGATCCTTAAATATGATTGTCACTGGTAATGTTTTTTTCTTTTTTAAAACATTATTGTTATTTACAGAGAAATGAGTAAGGAAGTCTATGAAATCTTTCTTTTTTTTTTTTGCTGTATGGAACAGTGAAATGTTTTTTACTTTCTTTTAAAAAAATAGCTCTAGGGAGCGTCTCTGAACAAGTATACTGAATTTGTAGGTCTGTGAGAGAATATTGAAGAACCCAAAGTAGAACAAGACAATTTTTATTATAAAATTGTTATTTCTTTTCTAAAATATTAGGGAAAATAAGTCGAAAATTCTGATTTCTATCCTTTGTTAATATGTAAAAGTCAGTTATTTATAGTAGACTGTTATTCTTTTACCATTCGGTGGTGGGAGATGCTGAAGAAGGGAATGCAATCTTTCTTTTGGAGCCATGTAAACGAAATGAACACTCTCACAGATACAGCGTAGAAGCTAAAGCTCTGCTTAGAGAGCCATGGTGGCTCATAAAGACACAGCACATTTGTGTAGGAGGAGGGAAAATAACTGTTAGATAATGCTTTCTTTCTTTCAGACTGCAGAATGGGTTAAAATTATTACGATTTAAAGAAAATAATTGTGTTACGATGATTACCATTGCTGTCTTTCTTTTCTCAGAGATTTGGTATCCCAGCTTTTTGATCTAATTTGCCTTTAGTATTGTGTTCTTACCTGTGATGCTACTTTTCTGATTCAGAGTTTTTCTTCCTTAAGAAATCAAATGATCTTTGGTTTTGTATGGGTAACGTTGTTTTGTTTCCCATTTTGTTCCCTCTACTGTCTCAAGTGATTGATGGTTAAGTATTAATCTCCTTCTTATATATCATTATTTTAATATCGTTATACTTTACATTACTCTCAGTTTAACATTTTTAAACTTTTAATACAATGGCCATGTAGTTGGATTAATATGTATTTCCTCCTCCACTAAGAATTAAACATTATTCTCTAAAAAGACTTACTTGAACTTTAGAATTATAGAATTATATATTTTGTCAGCTAAGAGGGAGCTTATGGATATACCAGGCTCCAGCCCCTCCCTCCCCCTTTTTTTCTGAAGCGTGGTCTTGCCATGTTGCCCAGGCTGCTCTTGAATTCCTGGACTCGTGTGATCCTCCCACCTCAGCCTCCCAAAGTGTGGGGATTACAGGTATGAGTCATCACATCCTGCCTTTTTACATTTCATACCAAAAGAAAAAAAAAATTACACATGCTTTAAATTTATGGATTTCCTTATGGGGTGTTATTTGTATCCTTTTTTGTTTTTTTAAGACAGGGTCTCACTATGTTGCACAGGCTGGTCTCAAACTCCTGATCTCAGGTGAGCCTGCTGTCTCAGGCTCCCGAGTAGCTAGGACTACAGGTGCATGCCACCACACCCAGCCGGCCTGTCTCTTTATTCGTTCATGAGCTAATGCTGAAAGAACTTGCCTAAAGTTGCCGAGCTTCTTAGTGAAGAAACAAGCATATTTGCATACTTGAAATCTTCCAGTTGCACAAAATATGTTTTTTTTTTTTTTTTTTTTTTTTTTTTTAAAGATGGGGTTTCACCATGATGGCCAGGCTGGTCTTGAACTCCTGACCTCAGGTGATTCACCCACCTCGGCCTCCCAAAGTGCTAGGATTACAGGCGTGAGCCACTGTGCCCGGCCCAAAATATGTTTTAATGTGCAGAATTTAAATAAGGAAACTCAACTAAGAATTGAGTTGAGTTTTTTCACCTTACTTTCCCTCATTTATTTTCTATAGTTGCTCAAGTGGGCAGATGCCATAGTATAGCACTCTGAAGTTTTATATATCTTTTTAACTATAGAAGAGCCACAGCCAGCCTGTATTCCTGGCTTAATGGATCGGTTAGCAAATGGTGAAGGTTGGAGGGTCAGAGGCAGTAATTTTGAAATCATGTTGGTTGTATTTGTAAGATTGCTCATGACAGTACACACCAACTAAACCAAATAGGTCCACTTTTTTGTTTCTGTAAAATGAAGGATAATTCACTATTTTTGTTGTTCTAAAAGAAAAGGTAAATATACTTTACAAGGAATTGTAGGGTTAATTGTGCAAATAAGAATTAAAATTTTATAACCTACTGCATTCAGTATTCTATAAAAAAATCCAGGGATTTTATATCACATTTTTATACATTCTAGTTTGTGTTGCCTCTATTATGTATTCCATAGTTGCAAAGAGTAATTTTTCAAAATATTAGTCACATCAATTGGGAGGCCTTCCAGTGAAATAAAACAAAATTATATTTATTTTATTTTATTTATTTATTTTGAGACAGAGTTTTGCTCTTGTTGCT